TATGCAATAAATAGGAACAAAAGTATCCCAATAAGAAAGAAAGAAAAAGAATGCCGTTATTATATAGAGAGAAATAAAATATTTATGTGCAAATTATTAGATTTAATAAAAGAGTGTTAAGAGCGATTGCTGAATACATAATTAATCTATAGGATTCATCTGCATTTCTAAACACTGGCAACAGAATTTGGGAATTTAAAAAATACAATACAATCAAAATTTATCATTAAAATTTTGCATCAAAAATTTTTATTTAAACATTCTAAATTTTAAAATATTTTATTTTTGGAAAATTAAGACTATCTAAATAAATGGAAAGTGTTACTATGGGTAGAAAGACACAATAAGAAATATATATATGAGTCTTCCCTCAAATGATCAAATCCACAATAGAATTATTTTTGTGGAACATACAGGCTGATTCAAAAATACACGTGAAAGTGAAAAACACAAAGACACTTAAAAAGAAGAACAAAATAGGGGTATATCTTTAAAGATATATTTATCTTTAAAGATATATAATCAAGAATTATTTTGAAGCTACTCAGTACTAAGATAATAAAGTATTGACATGGGGGTAGACAAAATGATCAATGGAAAGAAAAGAGAGCTTAGAAATAGACCCCTATATATATCAACATAAGTTATGACCAACTTGGCATTGTGGATCAATGAGAAAAGGATGGACTCTTCAATGATTACTGCTGGAACACTTGGTTATACACATGCAATGGGGGAATGAAACTGAATCCTTACCTCACACCACACACTGAAATCAGTCCTAGGTAGATTAAATACTTATAAAGCTTTTTAGGACACAAGAGAATTTTTTATGACTTTGGGATAGGAGAAAAACTTCTTAAGCAAGACATAAAAGAACTTACCATAAAGGAAAAGAATGGTAAGTTTAGTTGTATTAAAATAAGAACTTTTTGCCCTGGCCGGTTTGGCTCAGCGGTTAGAGCATCGGCCTGTGGTCCAGAGAGACGCTGGTTCGGTTCCCGCTAAGGGCATGTACCTCGGTTGCAGTTTGTCCCCGGCCCTGGTTGGGTCGTGCGGGTGGCAGCCACTCGATGTGTCCCTTTCACATCAATGTTTCTCTCTCTCTCCCTCCTGCTCTATCTGAATAAAAAATGGAAAAATATCCTCCGGTGAGGATAAAATAAATAAATAAATAAAATAAAATAAGAACTTTTCATCAGTGTACATCATAAAGAGAGTGAACAAACAAGCCTTGAACTAGGAAAAGACATTTGCTACTCGTAGTCAGCATAACATAAGGAACTCAACAAACCAATCCAATTATCAAAAGATTTACAGTCAGCCCTTCACAGAAGAGGAAATCAAATAACTAATAAACATGTGAAGACATCCAACCGCATTGGTATTTAGGAATATGCAAATTAAATGCAAATTAAAACTATTAATGAGTTACCACTGCAAAATCAGAAAGTCTAATCGTATTAAGTGTAATCAAAGACTGTGGGACAGTACAACATTGAACAAAGATGATCACAGGATACCTGCACTTGATTCCTAATCTTAAAGAGAACACATATGCTGCTGATGGGGGTGTAAATTGGTACAAGCACTGTGAAAACAATGTTGCAATGTATAGAATAGTTGACAATGTGCATTCTCTATGACATAGACATCCCATCCTAGGTACTACTCTAAGAAACTCTTATACCTGCACCTCCGAAGACAGACAAATGCTCATGGCAGCACTGTTCATAATAGCAAAATCTGGAAACAGCCAGGAAGTCGATCAACTGTAGAATGCATACATAAACTGGGGGATATCCATATGGCAGAGAAAATAAATGAATCCCAACAGCATGCATCGACACAGCTGTATCTCAGGAACAAAATGCTGAATACTAAAAGCAAGTCACAGAAGAATACAAGATTCCATTTTTATAAAGTCCAAAAATGCAAAAAGCAGACAGTATTAATTTTAGAAATGTATTCATCTGGTTAAACTACCTCTGAGGAATGAGGCTAGGGAATAAATTGGAGAGAGTGGAACACAAAGGACTTCCAAAATAGTGGTCAAGTTGTCGTTCACAGTCTGGGTGGTAGGTGATGGGGAGGGAGACGGGGGCAATGGTAGTTCATGAAGGGGAATTCTGCAAGTAAGTCCTCACTGAAAGGAGGGAAGGGGGGCGACATGTTCCCTTCACTGCGTGCGTGCGAGGTTGAGATGAGGAAAATTGGGAGAGACATGCAAAGGGAGTAAGAGAGATGGGAGAGTCTGGGACAATGGAAAGTGCAGATGGCAAGTTTGCAAGGGAATGGGAAATGGGAAGGTCAACATCATTACCCATTAGGGTCTTTAACACATGTCAACTCAATCCTCAATGATCCTACCAGAGAGGTATTATACCCATGTTACAGACGAGGCAACTGACATCGCAGGCTACTTTGTCCCTCCTCTCCCAAGTCTCAAATGCCCCAAGGCTAAGAGATCTCTCAGATCTCCACGTATGCTCACTTCTGGGCGATTTCACCCAATCCACAGCTCTAAATGCCATCTGTCCACTGATGACCTTCACAGTGATAGCTCCAGCCAGACCTCTCCTGGTCACTACTGTCTGGTAGCCCCAGCAGCCTGCTCAACCTCCACATTTGGATGTCTAACCGGACTCTCAAATCTAATGTGTCTGAGTGAGAACACTTAATTTTTCTCAGGATAAGGGAGGGCATTTCTGAGTCTTCCCCATCTCAGCAATGGCAGCATCCATTCACCCAGGTCTCAGGTCAACGTTCTTGGGCCATCCCTGACTTCTCTCTTCCTTCATGCTCCACATTTAATCCAGGAGCAAATTCTGTGAGCTCTTCCTTCAAATCAGTCTTGAATCCAGCCATGTCTCACCCTGCACCCATCCTCCTTACTCTAAGACCCCATGGCCCCGCACCTGGACATTAGCACACGCTTCTTCCTGCATCCACTCCTTACCCCCTTTACAGCTATTGTCCACCCAGCAACTGAAATGATTCCTTAGAACAGGCTGATGGTTACAAGGATGGGTTCACTTTAGAAAGATGCACTGAACTTCAGGCCTATCATTTGTGCCCTGTTTTGTACGGATTGTATGCGTTAGTAAAAAGTTCACTTTAGTCTTCTCCTCTTCTTCTTCTTCCTCTTCTCTTCCCCCCTCTTTCTGAGCAATCTAGTCAAGAGCCCGTAGGTGAGGTGGGGCCAAGCAAGGGCAGAGGTGGAGAGTGACAACAGGTGAAGAATGGCCTGGAGTGGAGGTCGGAGCCTGAGCGGGGAGAGGAGGATGTCCACATGAGGAGGTGACCCTGAACAGGTATTGAAGTCCCAGCGAAGTTAGGGAGTCTGTCACCCAGGGGCAGGGGTGGCCCAGCACTAGGGTTTTGAAGAACAGCTAGGTAAGGAATGTGGCCAGGGGCAAAGCAGCACAGTGACGAGGACATCTGAACAGCATAGCAGTCCTGTCAAGGGTGAAATACATAGAAATGTAACGAGATGCCTGGGAGCACCTGCCACCACCCCCACACAAAATTGCAATGAGCACATCTAGGGCCCAAATCTTGGTTTTTAAATACGTTCCCCACTAAAATGAAACAGAAATCCTTGGGTTGGGGCAAGAAAAGTACAAGATGAGCCTGGAACATAGTGTTATGCCAGAAAGTAAGGAAACATTCAAAGACAGATGAGGGCATGTTGTAAGGACAAAAGGAAGCCCTAAAGGGCTCCCACTGGCTTGATTAGGGACAAGCTGAGTATCAAAACAAATAGTAACAATAATATCACATCAGCAGGCTAAAGAAGAAAAATGCCATGATCTTATTAGTAGATGCAGAAAAAGCATTTGACAAAATCCAACACCCAATCATTGTTAAAACTCTCAACAAACCAGGGAATAGTGAGGAACTTCCTTAACTGCTTGATAAAGAACATCTATCAGAAAACAACAACAACAACAACAACAAAAAAAAACAAAAAAAAAAACCTCAAACTCACAGCTCACATCATACTTTATGGTGAGAAGCTTTCCCACTAAGATCAGCTATAAGGCAAGGATGTCCCCCTCACAATAGTTTTCAACATCATACTGTAAGTACTAGTTAATGCAATAAGACAAGAAAAGGAAATGAGAAGCATGGAAAGTTGGAAGGAAGAAATAAAACTGTCTTTATTCACAAATTACATGATTATCTATGTATAAAATCCAAATGAATCAACAACAAAAATTTATGAAACAGCAGCTTTATTCATAACTGCCAAAACATAGAAGCAATCAAGCTATCTATCCTGCAGTAGGTGAATGAATAAATAAACTGTGGTACATCCAGACATGGGAATATTATCCATCACTGAAAAGAAATGAGCTATCAAGTATATCCTCCCCTCCTTGGCCTTCAACCATCTTATTCTTCTCAGAGCTCTCTGGTGTAATTGGCTTTTAGAATTTACTTTCTAAACCATTCTGTTCATAAGCAAGTGTAAGTATATTATATGTACATGCATATGATAGCATTAATATTTATTCTTCTGCCCCTTGCCTTTAAGAAAAACCTTTTATTTTGGAATAGTTTTACATTTACAGTAAAGTTGCAAGGATAATACAAAGAGTTCCTGTTCACCTGGTTTCCCCTATTATTAACATCTTCCATTAGTATGGTCCTTTTTCACTACTAGGGAATCAGCACATGTACACTGCTCTTCACCAGACCCCACGGTTTACTCTAATTTCACTAGTTTTCCCTTAATGTCTATTTTCTGTTATGGCATGCCATCCAGGACACCCATGCCATCCAGGACACCACATGTAGAGTTGTCACGTCACCTTGGCCTCTTCAACTCTGTGACAGTTTCTCAGCCACCCCTTGTTTTTGATTACCTTGACAGTCTTGAGGAGTACCCATGAGGTTCCTCTGAGAGGACTGAGGTGCTTAAAGGACAGTGGGGAGGACGCTGCACACCCTGTCTGCCTTTGGAATTCTCAATGGTTAAAAATTACGTGCTCTGTGTCTGCTTCGGCAGCGCATATGCTAAAATTGGAACAGTAAAGGGGAGATTAGCTCGGCTCCCATGAAAGGATAAAATGCAAATCTGTAAAGTGTTCCACATTTTTTAGTGTTTAATGGGTATAGAGTTTCAGTCATACAAAACAAAAATGTTCCAGAGATCTAGTGCACAACAATGTAAATAACTTAACACTACTTAATTATATACTTAAAATAGTTAAGATGACATCATGGCCGGTGTGGCTCAGTGGTTGAGCATCAACCCATGCACTAAGAGGTCACCAGTTCGATTCCCGGTCAGGGCACATGCCCAGGTTGTGGGCCAAATCCCCAGTGAGGGGCATGCAGGAGGCAGCCAATCAATGTTCTCTCTCATTGATGTTTCTATCTCTCTCTCCCTTTCCCTTCCTCTCTCCCTAAAATTAAAAAAAAAAAAAAAAATGTGTTTAATAATTTTTTAAGATGACAACTTTAATGTAAGTGGTTTTTACCACAATAAAAAGGAGAGTGTTCTGAAGCAAAAGTAACAAAATGTTAATATCTGTTCAGAGATGGGCACCCAGGTTATCTGAATAATTATGTTCTGTAATTTTTCTGCATATGAAAATTTTAAATCTCAAGCAAAGGAGTTTGCATGTGCAAAGGCCCTGAGGCAGGATAAAGCACAGGCAGTGTGGGTTGGAGAGCAGAAAGCAAAGGACAAGGTGGCACAGGATGAGAGAATTAGGTGGGGATTCAGTCATAGGGCCACAGAAGACAACAACATTCCCACACATGCCACAGGCTTCCACTCTGCCAGCCTATACGCATTCCTTCTTCAAGCGCTAACAGGACTCCTGAGCTGGACTCCCAAACCACCAGTGCCAGCTCCCGCCCGGGCCCTGCTCTATCCTGAACATGACAAGCTCATTGTTCCCCTTCTGAAGGCTGCTTCCCCAAAGAGGCAGTTCTAAGCAGACAGGTTTTTGTGGGCAGATGTCCCAGGGCAGGGTTCACAAAGACACCACTGTCTGGGGCACTGTCCTGGCCCAGCAGACAGCTTCCACATCAAAGAGGAGAGATCAAAGCCCCCCCACCCCCCCAGCCGCCCACAGCACTCAGCCCAGCCCTGGTCTTGTGGCACATTTCACCCCTCAGAGGGGAGGAGGGAGGTGGAGGCAGGACACTGGCGGTAGCTGGTAGGTGCAGCTGGATGACCACCAAGCCACAGGGCAGTAGCGTCTCCCATGTGCCCGGCACACCACGAAGAAGGCAGGGTCAGTACTGATGTGCTCGCGACAGGTCAGGAAAAGGAATCAGAGTATGCCCAGGCGGCCACACAGCTGGCTGAGGTCACATAGCTGGCCCAGACCCTAGAACCCTGTCCAGTGCCCCTCCCAGAAACACAAGTGGCAGTCTGACTAATTCAGACACTGGGGCCAGGCCTCCCAAATACACCACTTAGTAGCTAGGACCTTTGGGCAGACAATGGCCTCCTGGCTTGACCTCCCAAGGGTGCCAAGTGCAGTGTTGAACACGTTCAATAGATGGTAGCTCTTCTTACCATGACACCCTAGACACAACCCACCAGAGAGTTGTTACTTAACAGCCAACACCTACACCAAGGAGCATTGCTCAGGCTGACAGGAGGAGGGGTGAGGGCAGCAAAGGGGCAGAGCACCCCCTGGGCAGGCCCAATGTGGCGGGCTGCCTTCAAGAGAACCCTCTGGGATAGACCTCTATCCCCAGCCCCAGGCTCACTAGTTTCGCTGTGATTAAATGCAGTCAGAGCCACAGAGGAGGTGGTGGGAACCGGGAGACCTGGGGTCCAGTCCCCACCCTGATCAGAGTGCCTTGTGTTACTCTGGGTGAGTCACTCCCTTGCTGAGCTTCTTGTATTCATCAGCAAAATGAAGAGTTTGGGCTTCATAAAATCGAAGGTCCCTTCAAAGCGAAGGTCCTACAGATGTATTTATCCCTCCTAAATTCCTCCTAAAATAAATAGGTAGATAGAGATGGATGGATGGATGGATGGATGGATGGATGGATGGATGGTAGATATAAAAAAAAAAAAAAAGTAGTTGGTTAATACCCTCTTTTAAGGCTGACTCCCAGAAAAGGGAAGAAAAGGGTGGTGGTCTTTGGGGGCATCCAGGAACCAGCCACTGCAAGTCAAGACCTACAGGGCTTCCTATGAGCTGTTGCTCCAGGAATCAGGACAAGACCCAGAGCTCAAAAAGGAACAGAATAGAGGCTGAGAACAGAGGCCCCAGAAGGAAGGCCTGTCCCTTGCTCCCTCCCCACCAGAGCAAGCTCCTCCTTGTGACTCTGAAAGGAATATTACTGGCTGCCAAACCGCGGGCAGCCCAGCATCTGTCAGGGAGCCTGGCCTTGTGCTGCATCTGGACTGGATCTGTAAGAAGCCCCTCTTATTACAACCAGGCCTAGAAAGAAGTCAGAAGCTTTCTCACTAACCCAGGGGACTATTCCGTTTATAAGATGCAGTATAAGACTGCTGAAATACAGTACGATTTTAGTGAACTAAATAGTCTAGATTTAAATGAACAATTCAGTGTCTCCATGTCAATATGCACCTCTCCTGTAAACCACCAACAAGAATATGTAACTCCCTCTGGCACCGAGTAACAACAGGCATCTCAGACGTGTCTAAGATGTACGTCCCGCCGTCTTCCCACCTCGGTAAGCAGCCCCTCTATTCCTCCAGGTAACAGGACTAAAACTTCAGAACCTTCCATGGCCTTTTTTTAAATCCCACTTATTAGCAAATGTGATGGTTCGTTTTATGTGTCATCTTGACAGGCTGCAGGGTGCTCTGATCAACCATGATTTCTGGGTGTGTCGGTGAAGGCGTTTCCTCCCCCTGTGGGTGGGCAGCATCAGGCCATGAGGGCCTGAAGAACAGAGGGCGGAGGAAGGGGGAATCTGGCCCTTTCTCCCTGCCTCACTGTCTGAGCTGGGACGTCTTGCCCCCTTCTCCCTCCCTCAGACGAGGAGCCACACATTCGGCTCCCTGGTTCCCAGGCTTCCCTGTGTCTCCAGCTTGCAGACGGCGACGGTGGGAATTCTCAGCCTCCGTCGCTGTGTGAGCCAGTTCCTCATAATAACCTCCTTTCGTGCGTGTGCGTGTGCGGTGGTGTCCGACTGCTTCTGCTTCTCTGGAGCACTCTGACCAATCCGGAGAGACCGCTGGTTTCGCCTCTGCACAGCAGGTACCATCAGACGCGCTGTGTGCCAGGCACTGTTCTGAACACTTTCCACATCAAGGCATTCAATCTTCACAATGACTCTGAGAAGTGGGTTCTTATCTCCATTTTACAGGTGAGGAAACTAAGGCACAGTGAGGTTAAGTAGCTATGACATGATGGGACTGAGGTCTGAAAGCGGCCCCAGGGCCCCAGGGCCCGTGTGTTTCAAGACTACAGCACACTGCCGTCGAGGGGTGTGCCTCCAGCACCACAGCTCTGACCCCAGGCACCCCTCTTTCTCCTCAGTCTCCTAATTGGACACCCTGCTGTCCCCTCACCGGCCCCCCTTATAATTATTCTCAGCAGCGCAGCAGAGAGCCCTTTTAAAAAGGAAGTCAGGTCACGTCACACCGTTGTTCAGAGCATTCGGGGATTCCCATGTGTCTCAGAGGCAAAGCTGAAATACTCATCATGACCTGCTGGGCTCTACAAGATCTATCCATCTCCTCCTACTCCCCCTTTTCTCCCTCCATGTCAGCCATACCAGCCTCCTTGCTCAGCACACCCAGAGGCCTTGGCACTTGCTGTTCCAGTCCCTCTGCCTGGACCACCCTTCCTCAGTACCCACCCAGCTCATGCCATCACTCCCCAATGAAGTCTCCCCTGAAAACCCTATTTCATTATTTATTTATTTATTTATTTATTTATTTATTTATTTTTTATCCTCACCCAAGGACATTTTTCCTTTTTTGTTCTGGTAGAGTGGGAGGGAGAGACAGGAACAGAGAGAGAGAGAGAAACATCAACGTGAAAGGGACACATCGAGTGGCTGCCACCCGCACGACCAACCAGGGCCGGGGACAAACTGCAACCGAGGTACATGCCCTTAGCAGGAACCGAACCCGGGCCTCTCGGGACCGCAGGTCGACGCTCTAACCGCTGAGCCAAACTGGCCAGGGCTGAAAACCCTATTTCAAAGATCAACTGGCCCCCAGTGCCCCGACTCTTCCTACCCCCTTCTGTCATATCATCCCGTCGCAGCGTGCTTGTCATCTGATCTGTGACCTGTCTGCTGACTATCTTCCACTAGACAAAACCCTCCATGAAGGCAGGCCCCCCGCTTGTTTGTTTACTGCCAAATCTCCTGGGCTCAGAATGGTCTCTTACAGTATAGGTGCTTAATAAATATATTGAATAAGTGAATGAACACAGGACTACATGAAGGTCCTCAAGGGACAGCTGCAGTCCTGTGGGAGTTCAGAGGTGGCATCAGTCATGGCCGGGGATGGGAGTGCCATGCTGTTGGAGGGGAAGTCTGGGAAGGCTTCCTGGAGGAGATGGGGTCTGAGCTGGGCCAGTGGGCTTTGCTGAAAGATTTGTGCACAGCCGGGCAAAATGCCTACAGTACCGCAGTAGGGGTCAAGTTGAGGTGGATGGCAAAGGGTAGGGGTCCCCAGGTTGCTCTCCCTGGTTGACTGATGAACTCTGGCAGGTCAGCCCTGCAGAATGTGTTCCAGTTTGCCCTTCAGCCACATTGCAAATGACTACATGTGGTAGATCTTCTTGGATGTCCATGAATAGTCAAAACCATAACGTTAAATCTGCAAAGCCTCAGCCCTGTTGCTCTGGGCCCTGTGAGCAATTCCAATATCATCTAGTAGCGGTAAATCAGAAAAATAAGACAGAAAATGGGACGGGGCGATGTACGAGATCATGTGAGTAATGACAGGCATCTAGGACCATAAGAGGCCAACATGAGAGAGAGGCCCAGCTGGGCTGGAGTGCGTAAGGAAGGCTCCATGGAAAAGATGCCACGTGGCCCGGGTCTGGAAGGATATTCTGAATTCTGTGTCCGTTAGAATGTTTTTGTTGCAAACAATAGAAAACGTGAGTGAAAACGGCTTAAGCCATGAGAACATTTA